AAAAGGTACAACTCACAGCGCATATTGCAGAATTTGCATTTCACAGCATTTACACTGCCAAGTTTATGTCAGTCTGTAGTCCACTTCAGATTCATTGCAGTAAAATCTGGCAAAGGAAGCACAGTATTAAACAGAGGGCCATGTTTGTAACTCTTGTAAGAAAAGATTGAGTTTGAAACTTATTTGGATTTGCTTATAATGCAGCAATGGTATCTTGCATGTAAAATTCCAATTCCTTAACATTGTGCAGATGCTCATTCTACAATTTAGTCCTGAGTTAAAAAAGGAATAAAAAAAAACTACAGTGTACTTTTTAATAACATCACATTCCTTTCAATTACAAACCTTTTTTCAACTTCGTATGAATTTTCTGTCTTTCAATGTCAGTTCCTTTTCTAGTTTAAAAATAGCTTTCGTACTGTTGACATAACAAGTTGAAACTAAACTGCCATTATCAGTGCATCTTTAGTGCATTGGTTGGCTGGGACAAGGAGGATAGAGCTCATCCTGAAGAGAATTTTATTCAGGGATGGATCTCAACCAGATGGCATCAAGTCAAATTCTTTTGGGGATGGACTCAGCTGCTGCATCTTTTTTTTTCAAAGCCTCGGAGGGTAAATTAGTTAGTGTTTTAATGAAAAGCCATACGAATGTTGTTGTGCCAGTCTGTGTCGGCCATTCTCACTGGAACAGCCGGTGACTCAGCTGTCTGAATTTCATTTAAATTAAAAGCTTCTTAGTTTTAAGGAAAAGGTTAAAAGGTACATGATGTTGGTCTTCAAAATGGAGCTCAATTATTTTCTGGGAACTGGAAACTGTTTTTATATAGGAAAAATGTTTTAAAAAGGCATAAACAAGGCCTATAATTTTACATTACACTGAGACTGCATTTTTTCAAGACTAAATTCTTGCAAACTAAAGAAATAAATGGAAATAAAAATTGTTCACAGCTGATGGTACATTCATTCTGATACTCTCAAATGCAGTTTAAATTGTCTTTCTTAACTGCCTATTAGTTCAGGATGATGGATCCGTTGATGATAAAGAGCACAGATAAAATATTGCAAACATGATAAAAACAGAGTGAATGCGATAAATGTCTGGAATGGTGTTTGAACGAGCAGCTTTTTGAATTAGATGAGAGTACCACAGACTGACCACTTACAATACACAATTGATCTCTAAGGTAAGGAACGAGTACTTGAGAAGAGCCCAAGCTGTCTAGCTATGAAGTCTTCAGCTGTTCTTGGATGTTCAGTAATACCAAAAAAAAATCACAATTAGATTTTCACAAAATTAAAGTTAAATCTGTCACATAAAACATAACCCCAATCTAAAAATATGTCAGAATGTTTGATTCCTCTCAATTCCAGGGTTAAATGTGATGGAATTATCTCTTTGAATTTTTTCTTATTTCTTTTACCTGTCAATTCTTTTCTTATGTATTTTATAGTCAGATTACCAGTTGGTCTAAGTCTCTTAACTACTTTATTAATGGGCTTGAAATTGTGAATATGTACAGCCTGCAAGTTGTCACTATTGCTGTTGAGTAACACCGATTTTAGAAAAAGTAGAACTCTGAACTTCTTCACATTTTTAAAAGGTCCACCATAATGCAAGGTGAAGAATAGGAATAGAGGTAAGACGTGTGATAGATTGCATGATAACACAGTGGTTAGTACTGCTGCCTCATAGCGCCAGTGACCTGGGTTCACTTGCAGCCCTGGGGGATTGTCTGTGTGGAGTTTACACATTCTCCCTGTGTCTGCGTAGGTTTCCTCGTACAGTCCAAAGGTGCAAGCTAGGTGCAGTAGCCATGATAAGTGTAGGGTTAAAGGGATGGGGTGTGATGCTCTTTGGAAGGCCAATGCAGACTGGCTGGCCCAAATGGCTTCTCTCTGCACTGTAGAGATTCTATGAATTGAACTGTGGAAGGATTACATTTTGTATTGCTATAAAGATTGTAAGGATAGCAGTAATTCTGATAAGGAAGAATGGCTTGCTAAAATAATAGGATTAATTCTGTATTTGCATATTATGGCATTCTATTTTACTCTACATACATAAGCAAAAGGAAATAATTTACATGCATATCTGACATAAAAATTAACTATGCTGAAAATACTTCAATGGAAAATATTTCAGTGTCCTGCATTTTTTTATTACAGTACCAGTAATTGGAGATCAAAGGTATGACTATATGCAGGACAGGTAGGTGCGGACGTAGAAGCAAGATTGGCATTCAAATGTAAACTAGCTCCTTGTAGTTCAATACTGATAACTAAAATATAGAACATATTCAATCGCCTTCATGTCACTAAACAGGCTTTGACGCTCATCCAAATGCCTAAAACTTTGAAATGCAAATAGTAATTGCTGGAAATACACAGCAGGTCTGGCAGCATCTCTAAAGGGAGAAACAGCATTAACATTCCAGATTGTGACTTTCATCAGAACCCATGAAACTTTGAAACAGCTTATATCGTTTAGCAAGTCAAAAAGATTCTCTTAGCATGGGCATTGAACGTGAATTAAGCTTATTCATAGAACGGAACTAAAAAGAGAGTTTTACATTTTTTTTCATGACCACTGGATATTGTAGATTGCTTTACAGCCAATGCAGTGCTAGCGAAGGGTAGTCACTGTCATCATGTAGAAAATGTGGCAGCCAATTTGCATAGGGTCAGCACTCAAAAAACAGCAACGTGACAATGACCAGATAATCAATTATTTTCTGTGGTTTTGAAAAGGCATTAATATTGCTAAGGAGACCATTGGAACATATTATTATAAAATTTTGCTTTGTAAACTAAGTTGAACTTTTGAAGACCCATCATTGAACCAGTTAGAAAGATGGACTATAAGGACCTATTTAATTCATTTGGACATTAATTTACTGTCCCTGAAAATTCTCAGAGCAATGGTGAAGCCCTAGAAGAATTGATACATTTTTTACATTCTGATAGAAACTGCTATATCTGCTGAGCAAGCGTAGGTTTAGGCAGGTGAAGGAACACTGAAAGAGGAGCAACTGAAGAACACATAGTCCATATGGGAAGCAACAGTGAACCAAATGGTGGATCATGATTATTGTTGAGCTACCACAGAAAAGATCTTAACCAAAATAATTAAACAAATTAATTATGTGTGTGGGTACCTCTTGTCCAGACTTTAGGGAGTTCTCTGAATAATAACATCCTTGATCGGGAGTTTATTTTCTCCCACCTTGTACCTGAAGATACACTGCAGGTCAATTGCAATTTTTGACCTGGAACTTCCACAAATAAAATTACTTACAGGAGAATTTCTGAAATGTTTGTTTGGAGAGCAGAAGGAATGCCCATAGGAGTCAAGTTTTACAGGGGCACTATCACTGTTCTAGAAAATTGACAGATTATACAGTAGAACAGTAACAGCTTCATCTAGTAATACCTAACATTGGTAGTAGGTTTTAAAGCTTATCTAATCTTAACAATAGCACAATTGAATTCTATAGCTGTTAAAAATGAACATCCACATACAGTCATCTTGAACAAATAAAACGTATTAAATGCAAGAGTTCTAGTACTTTAGAGACAGCCACCTAAGTGGTTTGCTTACACAAGTAATTTTAACTTGCAGGTCACAAATTTACAGTGACATTGTCTCACTAACCATTTTATCGACTTGAAAGATTAGAGGATACCATAAGTCCTAGAGGCAATTAGAAAGAGCTCTTGGTAAAGTTTTTCAAAATTATAAAACTTAGGTGCATGAGCTGGACCTACATTGCAGGACCTCACCAACTAAAAGAGCAACCTGAGTAAATCTAGATTGATCAACATTCTATCTACACCTTAAATACTCTCAACCCCCATCCACAACCACAGGTGCACCATGGCAGCTGCGTGCACCATCAACCACATTCATTGCAGTAACTCACCAAGGCTCTTTGGGCAGCCACTTTAGCGAGCATCAAACCAGCAATATCAACCACCTAGAACAGCAAAGTCAACAAACACCACCAACCAACAATTCCGCTTGAAGTGGTAAACCAGCTTGCCTTGTAACGACATCACCATTCCTTCACCATCATTAGGTGAAAAACCTGGAACACCCACTGTCATAGCATATGGATTGCACCAGTTCAGGAACTTGACTCACCACCACCTTGTCAATGGCAAGTACTCTAACATCCCATGAAGACATAAAACAAAACACTGATTAGGTAACAGCATGTTTGTGCTTTAAAAACATAAAGATTAAAGGAGGAAGGAAAGTCTACAGGAGCCAATGATTTCCAATTTTAAGACTTGTCAAAATGATGAGTTGAAGAGGAGATTATGGAACGAGTCTTAATCGCCATACAAGGTGATACAGGATAAAGCAAGCATGTTCATATAAATGTCCAGTCTGCAAGGAGCCTTTACGTTTCCTGTTATCCAGTACACATTGAGTTAATATCTAACTGTACCAGAACAAAGATTTTTTTGACCTCCGGTTATTTTTACACCATAACGATATTTTAGTGGCTGTGATGCAAAAAAACCTGACGCTGTACATGTTCATCAATAATTTGTCCTACATGACAATGTCTCTCTCTGAAGTGGCCCACATCTCAACCCAGTCATAAGATATCGCTGCACAGCTTCATTGATAATCAGTAACATGTGATTAAGGACTATTTAAGATCACAAAAGATCCTACTTGCAAATGTTTATATTATGCATGAAAAGGGGTCTTTGTGCCCGCACCCTCCCCCCTAAGCGCTGACACCATCTGCCCATTAGGTAATATGTAATTTCGGAGCCCCTCACATTTGAGTTCTTCGATGAGGTTACAAAACATTAACTTTGCAGCGTTTCATCACGTGGCGGAAGTCAATAGCAATTGCAGCATTTTTCTTTCTCTCTTGTTCCTGCAGTAAGGAATTTGTTGCATTGCTGAGAAAGGATTGTGGGATTAAAACTGGAGGCGACGCGATCTCATTGGGCAGGGTTGGAGGTAGGCGAGTGATTTCAATACGTGCAGTGTGTGTGTGTGGCAAACGAACCGCGCAGTCTAGGCGTGAGCTCGCATTCAGCTTTACGGTCTCCACACGTTACTGGAGCTGTCAACGCAAAGGCTAGTGGCTTGATCCTTGATCACAACGTGTTCCCTGATGAACATCGCCCGTGCTGCAAACCTGCTAAGCTCCTGACGCCACAGGTACTCGGTGAGAGTGCGTTATTCCTCATCGCTGTGTCAGTTACCTGGTACAATCTCAGCCAGCGCTGTGAATATCCTCTCCCCCCCCACCCCTTTTACAAGACAGCTCTAGGGGGTTGGTTCTGGTTCTGGTTCTCACTGCAGCTCGCGTATCATTCAACTGTATTGCATCGCTTTACGGGTGTGCACTGTGCTGACCGAAAGTGAGCAGGAGTTACATATTTTCTATGAGGATGGAAAAGACACGGGTCTGTGCGTTGTAGCTCAATGACAAAGACTTCTTGTAACTTAACAGCACAGAAATAGTCGGCATGGCCCCTCTCTAGCAACCTTTTTTAGTCTGCCTTTTGGGTAGAGCAGACGATTGTGAGCTCCGCTGTTTGCTCGATCATTAAGCAGCAGAATGAAAGCATTCCTTAGGCTGGAGCAGCCAGATTGAGTTGAACGGTGCAGTCACGGGGTCTGGGCAAGTCGGAGGTGGGCTCCGATTGTGAGCGCTGGGAAACGACTTGTTTTAGCACTTTTTTCCTCCTGTGCTTCGTACCATTTGCGGGAGTTCCCAACCCACCCCCCCCCCCCCCCCAGCCGATGCAGTGTTACGATGGGTGTGACTGTGAATGTTCTAACAGTAACTGGTGCTGGCAGAAACGACAGGCACTCTGAAGTGCAGCCAGATCCACAGGATGGGGGAAAATAAACAAAGAAATTTCCACCTATTAAAGTATTGCTTCCAAGCTGCTGCCCTGCTAGATTGTTTCAGAGACGAATACTTATACGAATTAGCAGCCTAAAATTTCAACACCAAGTGAACCGCTACTAATTCTCTTGTTACTTGATAGTTTATGATTTTCGTTACTTATTCCAAATCAGTTTTTTTTTTACAATAGCCTTAGGAAGCAGCAGGGAGCAGCGTCTGCTTTGCACTGACGTGCTGTCTGCATAGTTACAGGGTTAATAGGAAAATGGCAACTAGAGGACTCAAGAAGCGTGTGAAATGCTGGGCTGGATACACTGGGATCTATGCTATCTAATAATTCCATAAAATGCCTTGTAATAATTCCAAACTAACACGTGAAACGCAAGGACGTTATTCTACAGTGATAATAAATCAGGAATGGTAAAACAGTAAATATGACTGACATGACTCTGTAAAGGTTCGTAGCTCATGCTGTGAATGTAAAGGCCAAGTTTTAATGGTGTGGTATACAATAAATCCTGGGTGAAATTTCAGCTTTGTCTGAAATAGGACATAGCCATGTAGTTTGTACCTTGGTTTTATCATTAGGGAAATAAGTTGTATTTTGTGGGTCACTTATTTATCGTGGGGAATGAATACATGGTAGATTCATTTTAATTACAGAGACTTTTTATGCTTTTAAACTGCATATTTTGATTTGACACTCGATTGGTAGTGCTGCTGCATCCACAGCCAGAGGTTATTTGTGCAAATCCCCCTCCAGATGTACTCTATTTAGGCTGGCTGTTCATTGCAGTATTGAGAGAGTGCTGTATTGTTGATAGTATTGTGCTCCAGACGAAGGCTGCTTTTTTGATTGGAAGAGCACAATCTTTTGGAACTATCTGAAGAGCAGTTTGATGCATCAGTCAACAGCTTTTTTAATTTCAAAAATATGCTTCATTCATAAAAAAATCTTTGTATATAAACATTGACACAAAAGCAGTTTGGTTCTTCACAGTTGCATATCAAGTAAAACAAAATATTGGAGTTTGACTGAACACAAAATCAAAGACCCCTCTTGCACATGCAGTACTAATACTTACACACATTTGACACGCTAGGAGGGTCCAATAACTGAATGGGCCCCCATTTACCTTCAGCAGGAAAACCCCAGATCGTGGTCTTTCCCCACTTTGCCTTGGCGGCAGCTGCCCCAAGCTTTGGTGCGTCCCTGGACATAGTCCAGGACCTTGGAATGTGCCAGTCTGCAACACTCAGTTGGGGTCAACTCTTTGTTCTGGAAGGCCAACAAGGTCAGGCAAACCAAAGAGCGTCTTTCACCAAGTTGATGGTCCTCCAGGCACAGTCGATGTACAAAATCTTGGGAGAACCGCATCGCCAAAGTGATGTAGAAACTGGTCCTTTGTCCCTGTCTATTCCAGTAAAAACCTGCTTATAAGGTGTGAGACACTGTCTGTTGTACGTAGTATAGGTCTAGCCCATCCCCCAAAACAGTGCTGTTTCATTCTCCCGAGCCATCTTCCGTTTCATCTGGAAGCCTAAGACAGACTGGGTCTGCAGGGACCCCATGTACAAAGCTCTGGATAAGGGGGGGAAGAACATGCCCACTGTTGCCCTCATCTTGATAGCCACCTTTTGTGTGTGGCTGCATCAAGGTCTGCGTAGACCCTCGGTGCACAAACAGCAAGTGTCACCAAGTGCTGAGGTTCTACCTGTCCCTGGTGTTGCGAAGGATGGGACTGGCCTCATTGGTGCAGAACATTCCAAGTAGTTGGACCTTTCCGTATCACCTATCCTTCGTAGAGAAATTTGCAAAGTAAAACACCTTTGACCACAAGTCCATCAGGAAATGGTCAGCACGTAGCATACTTGCGATCCTGTGGGAAAAGGAGAGGGTGGATCCTGTCGTGTGATTCCCTGAGCAGACTGTCAAAGTAATTTGGCAGAATGCCTCATCACCAGAATTTTCCAACAAACACCGAGACGTCGCTTGGCTGGTAATGAGAAGGGCATGACCTGTGAGGTCCTTTTATGTATGCCCGGTCAGCCTGCATCACCATATGCTACCCTTGAAGTGGCTGCAGTGGGGTTGACACTGTCATGCATCTCCTTCTGGAATGTGCCTCTGCAAACGTGAGGTTTATTCCAAGCAGCTCCGTGATGCAGGACTCTGTGCTGTACGGTCTGTTCCCTGGGATGCACACCGTGATGCATCAGTTAACAGCATTAACGTCAATTTAATTCAAGTTTATTCACTTTATTTGCTGCTTGTGCAATCTTGCTATGCACAGTTGTCCAGCTCTCTAAGAATGAGTGACTACACTTATTCATTTATTTATATAAAGAAGGAATTTGATGTGAGATATGCTGCAAGTTTGGAGGGGTATGCGAAAGATTAAAGGGCTTCATGTTCTCCTTCAAGAAAAAGACACTTGTGTGTTCAAGTTTGACAGCATTGAATTTATTGCTTGTCTCATGTATTGTTTGTGCTGCTCAGATTCTGCTTGCTTAGTGTTTCTGGGATTATCTTTGTAGTTAATTGTAGCAACACTGTAACTGCAGACTTGATACAGTCACATTGCACTTTTTGCAACTGCCCACTAAATAATTTGTGATTGAAATGTGTAGATGCTGCAGATTTTTTGTTTTTGTTTTTTGTTTGTTTATTTGATTTTCGTAAACAGGGATCAACAGGAATATGAAAATTATCTTTGTCCATGCCATAAAGTCTATTATAAATGATTAAAAATTATTATGTAGCATATATTTCATGAAGTATAGAAAACAATTTCGGTGAATTAAATTTGTCAAACAAAAAAAACCAAAGAACTGTGGGTACTGGAAATCAGAAACAACAACAGAAATTTCTGGGAAAACTCCAGCAGGTCTGGCAGCATCTTTGGAAAGAAAGCGGAGATAACATTTCAGGTCCAGTGACCGTTCTTCAGAATCGTTCAGAAGAAGGTACGCTGGACCTGAAACACTACCTCTGCTATCTCTCCACAGATGTGGCCAGACCAATTAAATTTGCTAGTTGTCTGTAATGTTCAGAATCATTTGTGTTATTACTCTTCTAGCAATACCTACAACTTCACTGGCACTGCCTGCTTTTGTGTTTCTCTGCAAAAATTTGTTGCAGTGAAGCTGACTCAATAATTATGGAAAGCACCTTCATGAATGCTTTGCACTGTTTTAATGCAAAGTTGTTCTGCTTACTGCCTAGAGTTTACAAACTCTTGGAGCTGCAGAATTACTGCTTTAGTGTAAGGGCTTGATAGTGCAGTAATCCATTACTAATGACATCAGTTCTGCACCCCTAACTTCTCAATGGAAGTTTGTTTCCCTGTACTTGTACTTTTTCCCATTGTAGGTATTCATACTTGATAATGGAATAACCCTGTACCATGAGGTGCAATGCAATTGATGGCAACACTGTAAAAGTTTGCAACAAAAGTGCCATTAAGTTATGGTTCAGTCATATCAAAGCCATTTAATGCTTTTTATTATATTATGGAGATGTTCCAAAATAGTTCACAATAAGTAAATTCAGATCATAAGTGTTTTTTTACTTTAGGCAAAATGGCAGGCATTTTATACACTCCTGGATATCTCAAACAGACTGGTTAATTTGGTCTTGTTGATTTGATGAGAATTTCTTTTTGTTCTTTTAATTCTTTGCATGTTGGTGTCATTGCTTGTTTCTCATCTTTAATTGGTTTTGAGAAGTCTCTTGAACTGCTGAAGTTCAGAGGGTAGAGATACACCCACAGTGTTGTTTGGAAGTGAGTGCCAGGATTTTGATCCAGCGATGGATACAGAAACAGTGATATAATTCAAACTTATGATGATTTGTGACTTGGAGGAGAACTTGCAAGTGGTGATATTCCTGTGCTTCCCTTAACCTCCTAGATAATAGAAGATATAGACAGGAAAGGAGCTATTGAAGGAGGCTTGTACTGCAATATTTCACCATCTTGCAAATATTATGTATTGCTGTCATTGTGCATCAATGGGAAGGGAGTAAATGTTGAAGATGGTGGATAGGATGTCAATCAAGTGAGTTGCTTTGATTAGAGTCAAATTTCTTAGGTGTTGTTGGAGCTGCATTCATTCAGGTAAGTGGAGAATATTCCATCACAGTCCTGATTTGTGCCAATTAGATGCTGGATAGGCTTTGAGGAATCGGGAGATGAGTTACTAGCCGTAGAATTCCTGGCCTCTGTTCTGTTGTAGTCAGTGTTTTTATGGCTGTGTCCTGTTAAATTTCAGTTCAGTGGTAATCCCCTGGATGATGATGGGG